CAGGATGCTCTGAGCTGTGTCTGGGACTCAGCCACAGCATCCGGGACCGCTCACGCTGTCTGGCGCTCCAGGACTCACGTCTCTCACTCTTAAGCACGACACTGAACAGCTGAAGCCATCCGGCAGACCATCCAGCTGTGCGGCATTTACGGAGCCAGAGCTGCAGGCTGCAGCACGCCGGGCAGGGAGGACTCCGTAGACAGCCAGTGTCCACACTGCTGTCACAGAGCTCCGTGTGCTCCACTTCAAGTCACTTCAGGCTCGGGTGAGGCCCGCACATCACACTCCTACTGCAAGGACAAGGCCGTGCACGACCCCCCTCCCACCACTGCGGCCCTGGGCGACCTCACCCCTGGTCTGGAGCGCTTCGCTCCTCTTCCTCCTGGATCCCTCTCCTCTCCTCTCCAACGTGATCAGTGACAACTGCCACTCTGCAATGACGCCAACCGCTTTTGCCTTCGATGAGCTCTGCCTTCCAGGGCAGAGAAGGATGGTATTTGGGTTCAGGTACCCAAAGCCAAGGTGACTCCAACAGACCTCTGTTTCCCACCAGCTGAGAAATCTAGGGCGCCACTTCTCGTCTCCCAGCTCCATCCGTGAGCTGCAGAGTGCCAGGGCCTTCCTCAGGGGTCTCTGCAGGGGCTCAGTGGAGTTCATCTACATAAAAACCTGGGCCCTGTGACTGGTCCTGAACCCACGGCCCTGGCAGCCGGGTACTAGTGTCAAAATGGCAGCACATCGCTGGTGTTTCCCCTCTGCTGGGTTAACCGACACCAGGCAGAACGCTGCCTTCCTTCTGGTTCCCTCAAATCCAACCAGAGGCTATCAGGAACAAGCCGTGCACCTCCAGCCCGCGGTGCCAGGTGCTCTCCAGCTCTTCCAAGCTAACTTTCTGGTAGTGACTGGAGGTGCCGAGCCGTGCAGACGGGATTCCCGCTGACGGAACACTACTGTGCAGTGCCTATACAGAAGGGAAGGCACTTATCATGCTTTCAAAGGCAAGCACTCCCCCCCCCCCACTTTCTTTTTATTTATTTATTCGAGAGGCAGAGAGAGAGTGGGAGAGTTCCCATCTGCTCTTTCCCCACATACCCACAAGGGCCAGCGCCGGGTCAGGTGCCTAGAACTTAATCCAGGTCTGCCATGTGGGAGGCAGGCAGGAACCCAATTATTTGAGCCATCGCTTGACTGGCTTGCACCATCTATACTGGCAGGAACCAGAGGCAAGCAGTGAACCCAGGCACTCTACTACGGGACAAGGGCATCTTAACCGCTAGACCAAACACCTGCCCCGGGAACTCCCTTTCACTGGGATGAACCATGACGTTGGGGTACCTCATACAGCAACATTATCTTTCCCCGGTGAAACAGAAAGACACTCCGACTCTCCCACCACGTTCTCTCTGTGCTCCGTCCTGACACATGCTCACACCTCTCGGGTACAAGTCAGCTCATTAATACAATGACAGAGGCACATCACAAACAGTATTGCACGGAGCCTGACTGCTGCAAATACAAGGGTTCCAGAAAAGATTCAGAGTAATGAAACGCTAATGCTCTTCACAGACCAGTGATCCATGACAAAACCTCACTTTGCAAGAAAAAAGGAAGGGAGGGAGGGAGGGAGGGAGGGAGGGAGGGAGGCAAAGGAGGTAAGGAGGGAGGGAAGGGAGGTGGGAGGCTGGGAGGGAGGGAAGAGGGAGGGAGGTAGGCAAAGGAGGTAAGGAGGGAGGGAAGGAGATGGGAGGGAGGGAGGGAGGAAGGGAGGGAGGCAAAGGAGGTAAGGAGAGAGGGAAGGAGGTGGAAGGGAGGGAGGGAGGGAGGTAGGAGGGAGGGAAGGAGGTGAGAGGGAGGTAGGAGGGAGGGAGATCATTGTAGGGTAGCCAGTGCCTTCTGAGGACATCTGTGCTTCAACCTCACAGCTCTCTCAGCTCCCAATCTGGGGCGGGCAGCACTACGGCTCCCAGGGTGAGGGGATCACAGAAGAGACAGACAGGAAGCTGGAGGCCAGCAAGCGAGATGCTCACACCTCAACCACCAGCCCCCTCGCCCTGGGTAGTCCACCACCAAGTCCTCACGGCCACCAGGAGCAACAAAGCAATGGGCTCCAACAGGAAGGCCCCCAGGGCATGAGGTCAGTGCAGAGAGATGATGTGACCTTCACAGGGTCAGAGGGCGTGGGACACGGCCATGACACTGTCATCTCGGCCACAGCATCACCTCTCCCTCTCGCCACCCCGCACTCGTGGCTCTCCTGTCTGTTCCCCCAACCTGCTGACTCCCCCCATGTACCACGCCTTTGTTCTCGCTGTTTCCTGTGCAGGAAGTACACCCCCAGTCAACAGGAATGAGCCAACCAACAGCGCCTGGCTCACAGACCCAACAGCCGGCTGCGTCTCCTGCAGCCACTCAGTCTCAGAGCTGGAGGAAGCCCCAGAGATGGCTGGCTCGGGCCCAGGCCTCAGCATTTTCCGTGGACTCCGTGAAAGCAGGTGCCACCTCTAAGTGGAACCCACCTGACCAGGCACTAGCCAGGTTGGGACCCCTTCCCTATGATACCGGAATTTGATATCCCTGTGTGACCTCAGCCACTTTAGCTCTGATGACCTTCACACTTCCCAATGCATCAGCCCTGCACCACCCAAGAAACTCAGCTACCCCTGACCTAGGATCCAGGAAGTATGCTTATTTACAGGCTACTTACCAATCCCAGAAAGCAGCTGCTGCATTTACAGAGATGGAAAAGACACCATCCTTGCCTTCCAGGGACTTCAAGTCCACAGAGTCTCAGAGCCTGAGGGTGGAGGCCATCACCCTGGCACTGCCACCAGATGTCCCCACTGAGTCTGCACAGGGGGGTAGAGCGATGGGCAGAGGCTGTGTAGGACTGGACAGAACCCCAGACCCCAGGCCTACCAGCCTTGTTTCCAACTCTGCACCCCCACCCTGTTTTGTTAACATCCCAGTGTACCTTCCTGAACTCACATTGCTTCTGAAGTTGTCTCCCATCTTTAGAGTTCAGTTAGGAGATAGGCAAAAGAGACCCTAAGTGAGCCACGACCCAGCATGAACCAGGCAAGAGCTGAGGGCGTCTGCTCCCGAGGCCTCGACTCTGAGATGCACCTCCACACAACCCCCAGTGGATGTTTCTCGTACTACAGAAGTAGCACCCAGCCACCGTGGGGTCAGCAAGTGCTGGACCACACCTGCACGCGTCCCTGTGCACAGGATCACAGGCATGAATGGTCACCACGTGACCACCACAGCACCTGCACACACCCTCCCCAACCACAGCTCCCCAGTCCCATTAATATCCTCTCAAAGAAGTCACTTACTCCCCATTAGTCAGCAATACTGCTGGCAGATAGAACTGATAAACGTCACCAAAGGGCTTTGCAGTACTTATCAAAATAAACAAGTCTGGTGTTTCTTCTTCAATATGTTAATGAGATGGCTCATACAGATGAATTTCCTCATCTTAAACTTCCAATAAATTCTACTTTTATGTACACTGTCCCTTTAATATGTGACAGTTTGTGGGGAAAATGGCCTTCAAAAAGTTCGTGGAAAATGCATGCTGTGAAGAAAAAATACCATGCATGGATTTCACATTTTTATCCACCAATAAACTTATCTTTGAATTCCATTTTCCATAAGCCTTTTTAAGTCCCTTGTATCTTCCTAGAATTTTGGTATCTTGCTGCACAAAAGAAATGAGTCCCTCATTTTCTTTCTCATGCTATCTTTGTGAGGTTTTCATATCAGGGAAATGCACACTGGACCCAAGATCCTGATGGGAGCGTACGTTTAAAGAGGTGGCTATGAGCCTGTGTGTGTGTGCACGTGCACATGTGTGCATGCACATAATTAAAGCAATATAAAAGGCTGCTTCCACAAGATACAGACAGCCAAAGGCGCTCCACAGAAAGCTGGAAAGGAGTCCTGGAACACCCCACTACGCCACCGCGACTTGCTGCATCCTACACTCATTGGTCTCTGTTGTCACGGCTATTGTCATTGTTACCATTTCTCCCGCAAGGGTGTCTGGTGTCGCTCCCCCTCTTCGTGGAGGAGCAACACAGGACCCTGCGCTGTTCTTTCGTCTGCTCGGCCCTCCCCGGGTTTGCTGCTGGTTCTTCCCGGGTTGGCTACTATCCCTTCCACCTCCGTGGAAGGGCAGTTCCCCCTGGCCGCATTCCCCACTTCCGCAGGGGAGCGGCACACCGCCGGCCGGTTCTCTCGGGGGCTGCACGGGTTCCCTTAGATGTTCCCCATAGATGTTCCTCGTGCATGCCGTCTCTCTCCTCCTTTATAGTCCTCCTCCGCCAATCCCAACTCGGCTGCCCACACGCCGAGTACGCTGCTCTCCAATCAGGAGCAAGTCCTACAGTTAATTGGTTGAACTGGAGGCAGCTGTGCGGAAGCTGTTTACTTCTCTCCCAGCGCCATATTGTGGGAGAGCAGATGCATAGAATAAGTCTTAATTCCAGTAACAGTCTAGTCCGAGCTGCTCCCCACAGTCTGGTCCTGCCAAGCAGTTAGCATCAGCTCCAGTTAATGCTGAAAATGAACACTGGCCAAAGGGAGCCCAGCACATCTGTGCCCACAACCAGTGACATCCTGTCTGGGAGCCCAGTGCACCTGCGCCCACACTCACCAGTGACATCCTGCCCGGGAGCCCAGCGCACCTGCGCCCACACTCACCAGTGACATCCTCTCCTGCTCTGTGCTCAGATGTGATGGGACTGTCCTCCCCCTATTTGCACTGCTTCTGGTCCTCTCACTGCCTCACCCTGAGTGCCAGATGTCTCCAACTCACTGCTAATTTTCAAAGAATCAGCCTTGCCTTCTTTAGCAAGCGCACTGGTTTTATGTATTTTGGTTTCGTGTCGGGAGGGTTAATGGCGTTTGGTGGCTGCTCATTTTGACCAGCGCAGTTCCAGAAAAGCCCCCAGGCGGCCGGGATTAGAACTCAGATGCCTGCAGCACAGTGGCCTCACCTCAATGAGCTTCCGCTCGTAGGAGCTCGCCAGCTCTTCAGTAGCTTCCCCCGGCTTCTGTGCCGCGACCGGGACGTCTCCATCAACACTCCAAAGATTCGGCACAACTTGAAGAGAAAAAAGTCACTCCATAAATATTTCAACTATAATCAAAAATTATTCTCCTCATAAAAAAATCTTCCTTCCCAAATGGTTTCCATTTTTCCCCCAGAAACCTTTTATTTATGGAATACAAACTTCATATATTTCACAATTACAACTTTAGGAGGGGCTGGTGCTGTGGCACAGCAGGTAAAGCCACCGCCTGCAGTGCCAACATCCCATACGGGTGCCAGTTTGGGTCCCAGCTGCTCCACTTGTGATCCAGCTCTCTGCTGTGGCCTGGGAGAGCAGTAGAAGATGACCCACGTCCTTGGGCCCCTGCACCCACGTGGGAGACCTAGAGGAAGCTCCTGGCTCTGCACTGGATTGGTGCAGCTCCAGCAGTTGGGACCATCTGGGGAATAAATCTGTGGATGGAAGACCTCTCTCTCTCTCTCTCTCTCTCTCTCTCTCTACCTCTGCCTCTCTGTAACTCTTTCAAATAAATAAATAAATAAATCTTTTTAAAAAAACTTTAGGAACATGGTGATTCTTCCCACTGTACCTGTCCTCCCATGCCTCTTCAGAGAGAAGCCTCTTGATAAAAAGGGGGGACTATTACAATTGCTAGTCACTTAAATACAGGCACAGTGACATGAGTGACCAGCGGCGTATGACGACATTGAGATCTGTCATGAGACAGGGGCACCAGGGCCTGTCTGGTTACTTCTCAATATCACAGCAATGGACAGGAGTCTCTTAGAGTGACCACACTGCTTTTCTCCAACAAAGAGATACCCAGGGAGGTGATGCCTGCCACAGCCCGATGTGGGACGGCAGTGGAGGTCACAGTGCACACGGGGTGGGAAGTGGCCATGGTGAGCTGTACTCAGGGGGACAGTCACCGTGATAAGCACAGCACCAAGGCATGACGTCAACGCGGAGACACGTCAAGGAGACCGGCTGCCAGGACAGAGCCAGCCTGAGCGCAGCACACACCTCTGGGGGTTGTGTCTACTACATCGCTGCTGCGTGTATGTCCACACAGGCCCTCTTCACACAGCACAGCAGATACAGCAAGGCAGAGGACAAGCCAGACTCTTCCAAGAACAGTGGAAGAGCAGCCAAGAGCTCCAGGTACGTTGGAAGAATACGGGTGAGTCTCAAGTCTGTAGACAAGGTCAGCTCTGCAGACAGTCCCATGTGCTCCTGGACGGCGACCATTGCCCCAAATGCGAGAAGGACGAGGCAGCGCCGGGGTCTAAGGCTAGCCCCCTGGGGTGAGGAATGGCCTTCAAGGAGAAATGGAGAGTGGGTGCTGCAGTTTGGAGAGGGTCCGCGTGTCTCCCAAGGCCTCACGTGCTGAAATTTGGTCCCCACGGGAAGTGATTAAGAAGGTAGAAACTTAATCCAGCCATGGTGTGTTGCAGGTGGGGTCATCAGGATGGAAGCCCCATGATGGAATCCGGGGCTTTAAACTAAGAGGGAAAGAAGCCAAAAAGGACCCTCACACCCACACATGCTCCACGTGATCCCCGGCTCCTCCAGACACAGCCAGGAAGAAGGCTGGCACCAGATCAAGCCCTTGTCTTGGACCTCCACAACTAAGAGCCGAAACACACCTCTTTCTGTTAGAGTTACCCAGCTTCGGGTGTACCACTCTATAATAGTGATTACAGTAATGCAAGGCGGACCGACTCCACACGGAAGACTGAGCAGAGTCAGCGCGCTGGGAGGGGGCTGTGGCTCAGACTTCTGCCGGCTGAATGGAAGCTAGTTAGAGCCTGCCGTGGCAGTAAGCTCCCTGCATGGTAACGCTGCCACACGAAAGCCTATGACAGACAGGGCCGGTCAGTCAGCAGGGCCCCTGAGTGACAAACAGGCTGCATGGAACCCTCAAGTGTCCCCATCCCAGCAGCGCCTACTGTCCCCCAGCTGCTCCGTCACAGAGGTGCACAACAGCAACCCGAAACCCGAAACCATGACTTCAGAACGGAGAGGAGCTGCAGTGAGATATGACACACTGGACACACTAATTCACACTCACATCCCCTCCACATCCCGCTAAAATGCCAATTTTTTTTTTTTTTACCTCCTTCCTCCATGCAAGTGCGCAACAACAAAACCCAAAAAGTTCCATGATGAACGTGGAATGAACGCATCTCGAAAAGTCGATAAACTATGAGCTAACATAGCCTGGGGGATGAGGCACCAAATGCCTGCTGAGAAGCAGTTGGCGGAAGGCAGGGGTTTAGTCCATGCAGAAGGAAACACGGTCGGTCTGGGCTAAACCAGGAATGCACCTGACTGAAAACAGGGACAAAGCAGGAAAGGCACACTGGGCTTCCCTCCCCAAAACCCCACCACTCCCTGAACAGCAGGCCGACAGCATTCACCTCCAAACAAGGGGACAAACAAGTACTGTCCTGGGCCCCGAGGCTGACGGCCGGGGGCGCTCCTGTGGAATGGCAAAGCCAGGGCAGCCCGCAAGAGGCCCAAAGTAAACATCTACAGAGGTCTTCACCAGTTTCAGGAGCCTACACCCACATGAGTCCATGTCTGGAAAGCACCTGACGCTTGACCAAAGACAGGGACCAGAACAAAATAAGGGGGAAAACAGCCTACAGGAAAGAGACTACACAGGGCAACACTTTAAAGGCAAACTAGGTAATATTCTCAGAGAGGACAGAGACGATGACACAGTCGTGAAACAAGAACAGGAAGGCATGCAAATAAAATAAAATAATATAAAATAAAGTAAAATATAATAAAATAAATGCAACACAGAACAAAAGACCTCTTTTTCAAAGAAAAACTATGACAGCAAAAAAGTGAATATAAGGGGAAAGGGTAGGGAAATTGCCAAAAAAGACAGAAACGAGGGATAATAAAATAGAAGCAAAAGGAAAACAGAGCAAACAGAACTTTATGAGCTCAAACAAGATCTCAAGAATGGAAAAAAAGGTAGCACTAGGGGGAGGAAATCGGAGTTGCAATTCAACAGCGTCCCAGGGCCCACAGACATGGACACCGGGTGCCTGGGAGGACAGCAGCCGTGACGTGTGCAGAGCACTCTCGCACACCTGTGAGCAGAGGGGACAGAGATGACGCTGCAAACCGTCAGAGTAGAAGCAGAATCTTTACAACGCACAGGAAGTCAGAAGTGCCACAGGACGTCTACACGGTAGTGCGTTCTGCTAGAACACAACGAGGGAGAGTCGTTTCCAACTCAGAATTACCAAGAAGCGGCAGAAAGACATTTTCAGACATTCAGTCTCTCAAAAACCTCTAACCACTCACCAAAAGAAGGGAAGGAATCGAGGAATAGCAAATAGAAATGCAAGTTAGGGAAGTATTCCTAACACCCGAACAGCAGAAGGAACTCAAATGGACAGGACACAGGAACCCACACAACGCAACATCGTTCAGCCGTGAGGAGGAACGAAGCCCGGCTCCTGCAGCAGCGAGAGCGTCAGGCCAGGCTGCAGAAGCCAGAGGCCGCGGCCACCCCCCCCTCCTCCAGTGAGCCCGGGCACCAGCAAAGGGGCCTGGGGCCGGGGGCCAGGGGCAGGACAGGCAGTGACGGCCGCAGGGTAGGCAGTGACATCCTGGAAAGGAACAGTGGTGACGTGGTGCACTCCGTACACATATTAACAGCTACAGCCCTGGGTCCTCAGCGAGGGTGAGCTGGGAGGGATGTGAACCACACGGCTCCAAAGAGGCCGATTTAAAAACACAGGGGCTGGCGGGTGCAGCCCGACTAGGTCACAGGGTGCCCGTGGAGACAGCCTCGGCACGCAAGTGGCAGGCAGTGTGAGGCGTGTGAGCATGCAGGGGTGGGGGGACACCGCGGGAGAGCCCGGAGCTGACACAGACCAGGGAAACCAAAAGCCTGTGCGAGGAAAAGGACCACGGACGCCTCAGCCTTGGACAGCATCTTTAGTCAGTTTGGACAGGATCAGCAGCAACTGAACTGTGAGAGTCCAATCAAAACAACAAACTTCTGTGACTGATGAAACACCTTTTTTGCTTAAGGGGCATCTTTTCTGGGGATGGTCTATTAATTGGGAAATGGCAAGAATGGCAATTTAATACCTCAGAAGAAAGCATACTTCTCTGTTCATGACAATAACAGCTCACTCTGAATTCAAGTACACAAGGCTTTAAAACGACGTTAGCAACACAATCGCAAACAGGAAATTTAATCATCAACAATCTCATTCCACGCCGTGAGCTCATCTGACAGTGTTCAGAACTTGATGTTTTCCCCTCAACAAGGGTCTCATGGGGTGCCGTGGTGGATTAAGCTGCTACCTGTAGCACCAGTATCCCATATGAGTGCCAGTTTGAGACCTGGCCGCTCCACTTCTGATCCAGCTCCCTGCTGATGCACCTGGGAAAGCAGCAGAAGATGGAGCCCAAGTCCTTGGGCCCCTGCACCCACGTGGGAAACTCAGATGAAGCTCCAGGCTCCCAGCTTCAGACAGGTTCAGCCCCAGCCATCGCAGCCATTCAGGGAGAGAACCAGCAGATGAAAGACTTCTCACTCTCTCTGTCTCTGCCACTTCCTCTCTGCAACTTGCCTTTCAAATAAATAAATTTTTTAAAAAATTTTAAAAAATAGACTTTGGGGCCAGTGCTGTGTGGCTCATTTGGCTAATCTTCCATCTGTGGCATAGCATCCCATATGGGCACTGGTTCTAGTTCCGGTTGCTCCTCTTTCAGTCCAGCTCTCTGCTGTGGCCCGGGAAGGCAGTGAAGGATGGCCCAAGTGCTTGGGCCCTGCACCCGCATGGGAGACTGGGAGGAAGCGCCTGGCTCCTGGCTTCAGATCAGCGCAGCTCTGGCCATGGCTGCCATTTGGGGGGTGAACCAACGGAAGGAAGACCTTTCTCTCTCTCTCTCTCACTGTCTATTACTCTACCTGTCAAATAAATTTAAAAAAAAAAAATAGACTGAGCTACATGGCCAGATATTACCATTTTCAGTAAAAAAGTTAAGTTGTGCTGAAAAATGTTGAAACACA